ACTTCCTTGTCATTTGCGCATCAGGCATTGAAGGAATACTGAGACTTTTTTCTAATATATTCAGACATCAGCAAAAACCTTTTTTCTTGCTATCTGTCAAATTTTATGAAAAATTCAAGAAGTCTTAAAATCCAAGTTTGGTTTTACTAATGAATTAAAGATTGAAAGGGCACACCGAGCAGAAAGAAATGAAAAAGGAGTTAAAAAGAACAGAACAATAATAGTTAAATTTCTTAATTACAAAGAAAGAAACAGTATTTTAAAAATTTATCAAGCTAAAACTTTGGAATGAAAAACTATATGTTAATGAAGATTTTAGCGGAAGAACTACGGAAATTAGAAGAAATTTGTTTAAAGAAGCAAAGGAATTAAGAACCAAAAGTAAACTTGCTAAAGTTATATACAACAAACTTATTACGCGCGATTTTTAAATGAATTCTTTTATTTCTAGCTATTTAAATTTTAAAAATGGATTCTTATTATAAAAACATTCATGAATTGCTATCATTTAACTTTTTTTAATCTAGCGACTTGGTGCTTGACACTAATTCAGATCCGGATTTTAACTATTTTAGTGATGTAGGAGCTTTGCGAAACAATTGTTCCTACTTCTATAACAAAGAAATAAAAGAATTTCTTTCTCGGGATCATTTAAATGTTATTCATTTTAACATTTGAAGTCTTAAAAAAAATTTTGAAAATTTGTATACTTTAATAGAGGAAACTGCAGTATAATTTGCTTAACTGAAACCTGGTGTAAATTTGATGAAGCTAATTTAAATCTCCATTTACCAGGTTTTAACATGATCCCACTAGCGCGTAAAGCAAATAAACGCGGAGTTGGTGTACTTTTTTATATAACAAAAAATTGTTGGTTTTTTATTAGGCCTGAGATGAATATTTCTGATGACAATAAAGAAATTTTAACAATTGAACTTTTAATTAATAGTTCTAAAAACATACTTTTAAGCTGCTGTTATTGTCCACCATCTGGCCATATTGAAAGTTTTAATGCATTTTTGTGTAATTATGTTTTAAAAAATAGTCTTATGGAAAAGAACCTAAATTATCTAATTAGTGACGTGAATTTAAATTGTTTTGAATATCACGTTAATAGCAACATTAAAAAGTTTTACGATAACTTATTTGAACATGGAGCAATTCCACTAACTAATAAGCCTACTAGAGTAACCTTAACTGCAGCTACCTTAATTGACAACATTATAACAACCGATATCTTTAATAAAACTCTTAAAAAAGGTATAATAAAAAGTGACGTTTCCAACCACTTTCCTATTTTTTGCTCTATTAATATTGACAACAAATTAATACAACAACATAAAAAAGTCATTATCAAACGCTTTTTCACCGATGCAAATCTAGCATCGTTTAAGGATCAATTATCTTTAATAAATTGGAATCATATAAAAAGTTCATTTGAAGCTAATGAAGTATACGATACATTCTTTCAAACTTTCTATGAAATATATGATGTAAGTTTTCCAAAACGTGAATTTATTGTAACCAATAAAAGTTTAAAGTTACCATGGGTCAATAAAGATCTTAGGAAATCCTCAAAAATAAAGCAAAAACTGTATATAAAGTACTTAAAAAAACCAACACCAGAATATAAAATTATTTATAAAAATTATGCTAAAATGTTTGAAAGTCAAAAAAAAAAAATGTAAAAAAAGATATTACTATGATTTACTAGTCAAATTACTGGAAATAGTAAATTAAAATTATGCTCTGTGCTTAACACTATAAACGTTGAAGGCGTGTTTTTATATGAACCCAAACAAAAAGCAAGAGAACTAAATAAATATTTCGTGTCTGTTGGCTAAAAATATTCCAAATATGACTAATCCAATAAATGATTACGAGTTTCCATTAATCTCTAGTTTAAATAAATTTGAAGTATCTTTTTCAGAATTTGAAAGTGGTTTTAAAATGCTTAAAACTAATAAAGCAGGTTGAATTTTCTTTCATCCACGATTTAAAAAACATTTACTTCCAAGTAATATGCCTCTTCTTCATATTGATAATATTCAAATAAAAAGAGTAATTTTCACAAGTTTTCTAGGTATCATTCTAGATGAAAATTTATCATGGAAAAATCACATCAAACATTTATGCAACAAAATTGCAAAAAGCATTGGAGTTTTATATAAAGCCAGAAGCGCTTTAAACAAACATTCATTAAAACAACTATATTACTCTTTTATACACTGTCATATTAATTATGCTAATATTGCATGGAGTATTATCCATAAAAGTAGATTAAAGCCACTTTATTGTCAGCAGAAGCATATTGTACGTCTTATGAATTTCAAAAATCGTTTTACTCACTTAGGCCACTCTTATTTAACATGAAAGTTTTTAATAAATACCAAGTAAATGTTTATACCCAGCGGGCATTTTGACGTCCTGAGGACGTCCGTTAGACGTCTTAAGTCTCGTCCGTAAGACATCCTTAGTTGGTTTCAAATGAAAGGCTTGAGGACGTCCATTCCGGACGTCCTAAAGACGTTTTTTAAAGACGTCCTAGAGACGTTTTTTGCAGACGTTCTAGAGACGTCTCTCGCTGGTCTCATATGAATGACTTAAGGACGTCTTTTTCAGACGTCCTAGAGACGTTTGAATTTTACCAAGACATTCTTTTAAAAGTTATATAAAAATGCAATGATTTACAACACACACCTTAGATTTGCCTTAATCTAGGCAAGGGAAGTTATAAAAGGAAATCAATGTAAATAAAGTGTAATTATATATATTTAAAATAAATTAATAACTTTATAAATATTAAGAATAATTTTTCAAACAAAAAAGTTACATTTTTCAAATTAAAAACAAATAGGTACTGTAGAATATAATCGATAGTGCATTATAAATAGAAGAAAATTGCTTAAAAATGGAAAAAAAATACAACAGTTAATTAAGCCAACATTGATCGAAATCCATATTAGTCGATGTTTTCTTTATTCGGTCAGTAGAATGCCTAACTACTCTCCCAATAAGTTGGATAGCATCCATTTTGGTTAAGTTTTTATTTGACTTTAAAGCAGCTTCTAATAAAAACAACAAAACATGTTTCAATAAAATCATAAAATAAAATATATATGTCATACTTGAATACATGTCATGTTCCAGAGCCAAAATTTTTTTTTTTTTTTTTTTTTAAAACATCATTTTTAATTTTTAATTAATCAAACACATTAATAAGCTAATAAGAATACCAGTGACAGCGTTACATAGACTTGTCAACTCTTTAAACTTTTTTTTCTTCTTTAGACAATTCATGCTGTATTCTGACAAAATAGTGTCTGTTGGCAGTCTACATATATAAAAAAGAAGATAAATGCTCTACTGTCAATCAAAAATGTCAAAACTCAAACTTTTGCTAATTACTTACAAGAACAAAATATTTTTAATTGTATCAGCTAGATTTTTATCGCCAATTAATGATAACTGTTTTATCTAAAAAGAAACAATGTATAAGAAACATTGAAAATGTTTATGACAATTTAAAATAAATACTGTAATAATATATATCATACAAACTTTAAAGATGAAACTCATGTATACAAAAGTGATGTATTGGATATCTCCATTTGCAAACTTTTTTTTCAAAACATTAAGTTTATCTGAACTTTTACGTTGTTTAAAACCTTCTTCTGGATTATTAGAGAACAGTGCAGTTCTATCTACTAAAATTTTTTTTCATTTCAGCAAGTTAGAATATAATTTTTTTCTGAAACTTTGAAAAATAAAATATGTAAGTAAAGCCATATAAATAGTATATAAAGTAGTAAATAGTAATTCCTATATATGGTTGAGAAGAGGTAGATTTAAACTGAATAATGCAAAAAATCTCAAGTTTCATGCTTAACCTTATAAGAATATATATGTATATATATATTGATATATATATATATATATATATATATATATATATATATATATATATATATATATATATATATATATATATATATATATATATTGATATATATGTATACATATATATATATATATATTGATATATATATATATATATATATATATTGATATATATATATATATATTGATATATATATATATATATATATATTGATATATATATATATATATATATATATATATATATATATATATATATATATATAATGAATATGTATGCATCATATAAACATAATATAATGTATAAATGTATAATATCATGTATATATAAATAATAATACATCAAATTAAATAAAACCACACAATAACTAGGTATCAACATAAGAAATAATATTTATAATTATTTATACAACCAGAGGTGGAAAGATCGTAAAATTGAACGAAACAACACAGGAACAACAAAATATATACAATTTATTTATTCATTTACCTATTTCTACAGCAAAGATATTACAAATCTTAGCATATATATATATATATATATATATATATATATATATATATATATATATATATATATATATATATATATATATATATATATATATATATATATATATATACATATATTATAATATAGATATATATACATATATTATATATAGATACATATATAATATATGTATATATATCTATATTATAATATAGATATATATACATATATTATATATGTATCTATATATAATATATGTATATATATATATATATATACAATTTATTTATTCATTTACCTATTTCTACAGCAAAGATATTACAAATCTTAGCATATATATATATATATATATATATATATATATATATATATATATATATATATATATATATATATATATATATATATATATATATATATATATATATACATATATTATAATATAGATATATATACATATATTATATATAGATATTACAAATCTTAGCATATATATATATGTATATATATATATATATATATATATATATATATATATATATATATATATATATATATATATATATATATATATATATATATATATATATATATATATAAACGTTCTAAAGACATTTTTTGCAGATGTCTTAGAGATGTCTCTGACTGGTGTCATATGAATGACTTAAGGACATCTTATTCAGACGTCCTAGAGACGTCTGAATATTACCAAGACATTCTTTTAAAAGTTATATAAAAATGCAATGAATTACAACACACACCTTAGATTTTCCTTAATTTAGGCAAGGGAAGTTATAAAAAGAAATCTAAGTAAATAAAGTGTAATTTGATATATTTAAAATAAATTAATTACTTTACAAAAAATAAGAATAATTTTTCAAATAAAATTACCCTTTCCATTTTAAAAACTATTAGGTACTGTAGAATATAATCGATAGTGCATTATAAATAGAAGAAAATTGCTGAAAAATGGAAAATAAATAAAAAATACAACAGCTAATTAAGCAGATCATTGATCGATATTCATATTAGTGGATGTTTTCTTTAATCGGTCAGAAGAATTCCCAATTACTCTCCCAATAAGTTGGATGGGTGGCATCCATCTTGTTTTTATTTGACTTTAAAGCAGTTTCTAATAAAAACAACAAGACATATTTCAATAAGATCATAAAATAAAATATACTTGAATACATGTCAGGTTCCATAGCCAAAGAATTAAAAAATATATATATTTTATTAAAACATCATTTTTAATTTTAAAAGTTAATCAAACACATTAATAAGCAAATAAGAATACCAGCATTACATAGACTTGTCAATTCTTTAAACTTTTTTTTCTTCTTTAGACAATTCATGCTGTATTCTGACAAAATAGTGTCTGTTGGTAGTCTACATATATAAAAAAGATGATAAATGATGTACTGTCAATCATAAATTTTAAAATTCAAACTTTTGCTAATTACTTACAAGAGCAAAATATTTTTAATTGTATCTACTCAATTTTTTACCGCTAATTAATGATAACTGTTTTACCTAAAAAGAAACAATGTGAAAGAAACATTGAAAATGTTTATGACAATTTAAAAGAATTATTGTAACAATATATAACATATAAACTATAAAGATAAAACTCACGTATACAAAAGCGATGTATTGGATATCTATATTTGCAATTTTTCTTTTCAAAACATTAAGTTCATCTAAAAGTTTACGTTGTTTAAAACCTTCTTCTGGATCATTAGAGAACATTTTAGTAGATATAACTGTGCAGTTATATCTACTAAAATGTTGTTAATTTCAGCAAATTGGAATATAACTTTTTTTTGAAACTCTGAAAAGTAAAATATATAAGTGAAGCAATATAAACAGTACATAAAATAGTAAATAGTACTTCTTATATATGGTTGAAAAGAGGTAGATTTAAACTTAATAATGCAAAAAATTTCAAGTTTCATGCTTAACCTTAAAAAAATATATAAACAAGTAAAGTTCAAGAAAATAATAAGATTTTTGTCTTACGCTAAAAACTGTAAAGAATCGCTACTTTATATATATATATATATATATATATATATATATATATATATATATATATATATATATATATATATATATATATATATATATATATACATATATATATATATATATATATATATATATATATATATATATATATATATATATATATGTATATACATATATATATATATATATATATATATATATATATATATATATATATAAATATATATATATATATATGTATGTATATATATATATAATATATATATATATAATATATATAATATATAATATAATATATATATATATATATATATATATATATATATATATATATATATATATATGTATATATGTATATATTTTGTTAGATCGACTTAAAGTGGCCTTTTCATTGGTAAAAACTTGACTTAAAGTGGACTTTTACTTAAAGTGGACTTTTTTGAGTCCACTTTACGTTTTTGATTAGTTTTTTAGACTAAGTTATAGCTGTTGAAAAGTTAATAGCAAGTTTTTCTAATCGGACTATTGCTTCTATAAAGGTTTGCGAATAGGAAGTTTTGTTTTAAAAGCATAATTTTGAGTTTAAGTGTTTGTTATTTTGACCATGTATATTTCGTCACTGTACAAAAAAACACTTAAAGTGGATCTACATTTTGAGACTAGGTTTTGTGTATAAATCTTTACTATATTTAATCGAGTTTTTTAGTTCTATAAGACATCATACACCTTATACTAACCAAACTTAAATGAAATGTTAAATCTTTCTTTCTACAGATATAACATAAAAAATACAATTAATGAGGTCGCTAACGCATAGATTTTGTTCAAAAAAAAAAAAAAATGTATTATAAGTTAAATTAAAAGAATTTATTAACCAAGGTAAAGTTAAATTTGTTTATCTGTAAGAAAGCAATAAAATAATTTGTAAAACTAAATTTAAAGCAACCCTTACACATTATTTTTACACTTAATTTAAAGTCCATTTAAAGCAAACTTTTCAACATGTTTTGTATAAATCCATTTAAAGCAAAATTTCAAACATATTTTAAATAAATCCACTTTAAGCGAAGTTTCAAATGTTTTAAATAAGCTCACAATTTAAGTTTCAAACAAATTAAGTAAGTCCATTCCAAGCGAGGTTTTAAGCGTTTCAATGTAAATAAATCCAGTTTTAAATGTTTTTAATAAGCTCACTTTAAGCAACATTTTAAACAATTTAAGTAAGTCCATTTTAAGTGACGTTTTAAACGTAAATAAGTCCACTTTAAACGGACTTTTAAACGTTTCAAAATAACACTTTAAACAAAGTTTAAGCATGTTTCAGAAAGCCGATTAAGTAAAAGTGTTGAAAATAAATTATATTTATCAACATAACCAAAAAAATATATGCTAATAATCTTTATTTATCATATAACTAATGCTACAAGAACAATCTATATATTATTTTCAATTCTATTTTTATAACTTAATTACTACGGTTTTAAATATTTGAGTTCAAACTTAAAAAAAACGGGCAGTGTACAGGTATCGTTGACGTCGAAAAAAGCTTTAATTTTGTTTAATTGTTTTAATGACATTTCTTGTAGTACTTGATAATTTATTTATTTAATTTTTAACACATACAATACAGCTAAGTACTAATATTTTAATTTATTTATGTAATATTTCTGTCTGAATAGTTCAGACCGTCATCAGACGTAAAATTAAATACAATTTTAATAATAATTTTGTTTAAATTTTAAAAAATTTAACTCCAGACTCCTTAAAATCCTATGTCTTTTTTTTTTAATGAAAATAGTGTAAGTAAAATAAATCATGGTATTGCATCGTAATAGTAATAATAATAATAGCAATAATAATATATTATACTAATATAAGATAAAAAAATAATAATAATACAAATTATAGTAATAAAAAAGTATGCTTACAATATTTGCAATGAAAAAAACAATAATAATAATAACTAATATTATAATGGTAGTTGTCACCATAAATGTATTTTTTTTAATTTTTTTTTCCTTAGATTTAGGTTTAAAAAAGTATTTTACCAATTAAAAAAAAATAATTAAAAAAAAAATAGCGAAACTTGAAGATATTAACGATATATAACAGGTTTGTATATACGTGATCGTATGGATTTCGATTTAGATGACAGCCCATACGTTAATATATTGCAAATTTTGAATGCCACAAAGCGTTTTTGCAAACTTAAAAATGATGCCAATGCAGTTTTTTTTCTCATTCATTTCAAATTTTGCTACGTAATTCGATTTTTTTAAAGTATAAACGTCGTTTTGTCAGATACTGGGATTGGCATGAAATAAAATCATGAAATATAACAATTAGGAAAAATGCTTTTCTTAGTTATACAATATTTCACCAATAAAATATTGCTTTAAATTAAAGCGAAACACATGCTCTACAAACAGGAGTGCTTTTAAATTATTACGAGAGAGGTTTTATTTTTCAAAAGTTACAAAATGTCTAATAAAAATGTCTTTAAAAATCCAGTTCTACAAACAAGGTTTGTAGAACTGGATTTTTTAAGCTGGGTATATTCTTATAATTAATGTTTATGAGTTAAATTTGATTTTCCTTGTGTGTATGTGGAGAAACATTCCCCCCAAACCGTTAAAAACTGTAATTAAAAATTTATGAAAACTCAAAGTTAAAAATAAAAAAATAATAGTTTTGGATAAAATAAAAAAGCTCTTATAGGTAAATAAAATTAGCTGAGTTCAATCGCACACACGTTCGAATAGGATCGCAGAATCCTCTCTGCTTACTTTACAATTTTGAATAAAAATTTTACTTTTTTTAAACGAAAACTAAACGAAAGGTAAACAACGTTCGAACTCACTGTTCACGTTAATTAATTGAAAAATTTATTTGGCGCGGATTTTCTCATTGAATTTAAAATAACGTTTTAGAAACATCAGTATTTTCAGATTTTGAATTATTTTCGAAATTTTACTTTTTGTTAATAAATACATAATTTAATTAAATAAATAATATGATTTAAACAAGCAAACAAAAATTTAAATTTTTGTTTCCTTATTTAAATTTCTTAAATAATTTAGTTAAGATTTCTCATTATCTATAACAGAGCGCATATTTTCTGCTGGTGGAAATATACTGTCCTACCAGCTGAGAACATGCCTTGCTCTTTTCTTATAATTTTGCTATTAAACATAATGTTTTATTATCAGAATAATCTAATAATTATATTAGAAAACTAAAAATCATTTATTTAAATAAACATTTTTTTTAATGCAGTAGAGTAACAGAGAGTTTTCCGTTTTTGACAACTTTTGAAAATTTAGAAATTTTAAAAACTTGGAAAAATCTTTAATACTTTTTTTATCCTTTTATTTTCTAAACTGAGAACAAATTTATTGCTCAATAGTGTAAATGAAAATAATCTAAATATTCTTATTTTATGAAATAACACTGCGTTGCAAAGTTGTTTAGTAAGTTTAAATAAATATGTTAATGCATTGTTTTAATGGGTATTTATTTTTAAAATATTGTTTACTACCTTTTTTTAAATTTTATTTTTGTAACTACAACAAAAATTTTATTTGTCAGTTTTATATCTCAGAGATAGAACTAATATTAGTCAACCATTTTATGAATAACATTGCATAAGTTTATAACGGTATTAAAAAACTTTATACCTTTTTGAGATCTATTTTAAAACAAAAGCATATTATTAGTGACATGATCTAATGATATAGTTTTTTAAATATTTATATGTACAAGTTTATCATAAGTTATATTGACAGTAAATTTAAGTCGTACTGTCGGGACCAGCTAAAGTATGAGTGGTAAAAAAGCCGACTGATTATAATTTTTATTATTTTTCATCGTTAAACGGAATCATTCTCGCACAGAAGCGTTGATTACAAAGAACCAAATATTAAGTGTATTTGCAGTAGTAATAAGTTTTACGAACTTCGGGTTTACTCATTAGTTTGCGTAATTTGAATGTGACCTCGAGTGTAAATATAATTGTTTTTTAAAACGAAACTTGATATATTTAGAGTAAATAACCAGGTTTTTTTTTTAAAAAGCAATTTAGCGCTAGAGATTTCACAAGATTTTATTCCAACATTTTAATATTGACCCGGTGCTGGGTACCCGGAATCGGGAACTCAGCATCTGCAAACTGGTTCCGGTACATCTTTATTTTGCACTGTTTTCTTTTGTATCTGCTTCTTAGACATAATGATTTTTCTTGAAACAAACAAAAAAATTCTCTTAGATGATTAATAAGTTATATAAGAAATTTATTTAATCATTTAATAATCTTTTTGGTGAGTTTAAGATTTCCGTAAATGTTTTTGTAAAAAAAAAAATATATATTTATACTGATATTAATTGAATATGAGATGTTTTGAATAAGATAAAGTATTTTAATTAACACTTTACATAGAAAAGAAGTAGTAATTCACAAATAAAACGCTATAATCTAAACTAGATAAAAGAAACAAATTAATAAAATTTATATTGCATAATAAAAGTAAAGTTCTAGAAATATTATTTAATGACACTCAAATATCAGATTAATAAGTATATTAAATATGGACAAAATAATTAAGAAGCCATCCATAAAAGACGTCTTCCAAATAAGGGGGGGGGGGGGGAGGAGGTCGTGTTAAAAAGGACAAAAAAGGACAAGGGGAGGGGGGAGGTTGTCAGAAAAGGACGTCACTTTATAGATTTTTTATTTTAGTTTAATTAACATGGAAAACTACGTAAACATGTGTTTTTAAGAAGATAATGTATGAGAATATTTTTAAT